GAGCAGGGAGCCCGATGCGGGACTCGATCCAGGGACTCCAGGATCATGACCTGAGCCGAAGGCAGTCGCTTAACCAACTGAGCCACCCAGGTGCCCGATTCTTTATATTTTAAAGAATGACTTCTAAATACCTTTCTCTCTATGTCATCCTTTCAAATCATGGTAACATTTTAATGATCTGTATTGATTAAATGAAAAAATTTTCAGTTCAGTAGAGAAAACTCCAAATTAAATAAAGCCATCTCTAGGCAGTCTTAAAAATAGGTAGAAGAGAAATAAAACAAAACCTTTTACTTGTATGGGAAGATATCCAGGTAATTATTTCCATCATATTGCCATGTTTTCTCATTCTTTGCAAAAATATAGAGAACATGTTCATAGTAACTCTAAAGAATTTTCTTTTCAAAATTCAAAATTGCAATTAAACTGCTATGAATGCATGGACAAGCTTATGGTAGATTCATCTCTGTTAACCACAGGCTTGACAGTATTCATTCTGACTATAATGGAAACCACTGTGATTTAATGGGCAAACAAACTATAATGGTTGACCCAAAAAAGATTGATCTTTCACTCATTGAATGTAGTCCATACCCAAAGTAGATGACAGCTTTACAATTATTTATAAAGCTTTATCTAATAAAAGATTAAGATGACCCTGATTAAAACAAGCATTCTCCTCAAAAGAAACCCCATAACCACCAATCGTAGCCCCCAGCCCTAGGAAACTAATGTGCTCTCTCCAGAGTGACCTATATAGAATATTTCACATTAATGGTATCATACAATGTGTGGTCTTTTGTGATTACGGTAATGATTACACAACTCTGTAAATACACTAAAAACCACTGAATTCTACACTTTATTTTTTTTAAGATTTTATTTATTTATTTGACAGAGAGAGAGAGAAACAGAGAGAGAGAGAATACAAGCAGGGGGAGTGGGAGAGGGAGAAACAGGCTTCCCACTGAGCAGGGAACCCAATGCGGGGCTCGATCCCAGGACCCCGGGATCATGACCTGAGCCAAAGGCAGGCGCTTAATGACTGAGCCACCCAGGTGCTCCTGAATTCTACACTTTAAATGACAAACTTTTTGGTATGTAAATTACCTCAATAAAGCTGTTTTAAAAATCAAGCAGTTTATAGAAAAATACAATTGACAATTTAGACAAAAGTGAAAAGACTTCAATTAAAAGAAGAAAAACTGTAGACCTAGAAAGGGCAACACTTTCTTTCTCTTTGTCTTTGACTCTACCCCAAACCCATCATAAATGTACTCCTTGCAGTCCCCAAGAAAAACCCAACAGGTAAAGACAGTATCTGGAACTACAGACAATGAATGAATAAAATTCAAAAATGTTAAACTCCTCCCAAAGATACAATCAGCTGATAATTTTTATTAGATTAATTCCTTTTAAGTGGTAAAAATGTTGGGAAGAAATGTCCTTTTTCTGCATTTTGTTCAGGCATTCTAGAATTATCAAAATGCACCCACACATTTACAAAAATTTGGTATTTTCTCAGGAATAATTGTATACTTTAACTATTTCTAACACAAGTAACCTACTCTACTTGAAACTAGATTTTATGCTTAGATTTAAATTCTGAATTATGATCTACAGGAAAATATAATACATAATCTTTTCACAAAAACCCACATATGTTTACCTTTTTGGAAGTAACAGATCCTAGCAGCTTTTGTTTATCAAAAAAATCACAAGCTATGGGCGCCTGGGTGGCTCAGTTGGTTGAGCGACCGCCTTCAGCTCAGTCATGATCCTGCAGTCCTGGGATTGAGTCCCACATCAGGCTCCCTGTTTGGCGGTGAGTCTACTTCTCCCTCTGACCCTCCCCCATCTCGTGCTCGATCTCTCTCTCTCTCTCTCTCTCTCAATAAATAATCTTTTAAAAAAGTAAAAAAAATCACAAGCTATATTTTTAAAATTTCCTTCAAGTCCTATTTCTTAATTTTCTTTAAATTTTTCAATAAAGAGGAAGAGGAGCAAGATGGCGGAGGAGTAGGAGACCTAAATTTCCTGTGGTCCCAGGAATTCAGCTAGATAGGTATCAGACCATTCTGAACACCTACGAACTCAACAGGAGATTGCAGAAAAGAATAGCAGCAACTCTCTGAACAGAAAAGTGACCACTTTCTGGAAGGTAGAACATGCAGAGAAGTGAATCTGAGGCGACATATGGGAAGATAGACCGCGAGGGGAGGGAGCCTCCATCAGCTGCTACCAGCAAGTGATAGAGCTGTGGAGCACAAAATCGGAACTTTTAGAAGCCTGCTCTGCTGAGGGACGTCACTCCAGTGGCTAAACAGGGGTGGAACCCTCGCTGGGACAGTGTGGTCTCAGGACCCTCAGGGTCACAGAAAGAC